TTACTTCAAGGAAACAACTCAACTGATATTTGTGAATATACTCTTTTTCTTCCAGTTCCTTTCTTGGGCACTTGGAACTAAATCCAAGTATTAGTCTCCGTTAGATTACAGTTTAAAAAATTGTTGGACTAGCTTTTGAACTTTTAGAAGTGCTACCTGGTATTCACAAGATACATAGTACAATAACATCTGTAACAACTTCATAAAGTTGCACCAACCAACTTATGTTGGGGTAGTCTTTGTAGGCAAACTAATGCCACCTCCTTTTATAGAAATATTAGGACTTTTGACTGATTCGAGTCCAGGAAAACAACTGCCACTGGGATGTCGTGTGGAATGTCGACAAACTCCACGATGAATTTCAAGTCTGAATACCTCATCTCCCTTTTCTTTGCTGCTTCTTGCAACGCCGTTTTCACTAACCTTCTAGCAATCCCTTGTGTGGCAAACAAGCCTCTTAAGTTTTGATCCAACTGTTTTTTCTACATAAAGGTGTTGAGACATATAGATATTTTACTACATCTATCTACACCAAAAAGAAGTCAGAAACTTGGGGAAACACTTGAAAATAATAAAACCGCAGCTTGTTGCAGTAAGCTCCTGCTATGTGCAGGGTATACAAAGCGCCGGACCACATTAGGTCTACTGTACACAGATTCACTTAGCATTGCATTTCTAGAAGAGGTTGTTTCTACGGCTTGAATCCGTGACCTCCTGGTCACACAGCAGCAAATCTTACCGTTGCATACTGAGGCAAATTTATTATTCATGCATTTGACACAGTGGCAGCAAAATTTGATTAAGTGGCTTCTACTGCTCGGCATATGGGTGGAGAGGCCTAATGCACCTCCTGGAAACATTTAATAGAAAATTCCCCACTGTTCCTCAACACTTCTTCTTTTTCTCTTTCCATAACAAACAGGAGATCCCTTGCATATAAGAAACTTAGAGTTAGATGTAATTAATTTTATGCAAAGTGCATCACCTGATTATTTCAATAAACTCTTATTGTGACCTGTCGTGTATAAAAAAGAAGTTTAGGATGTCAACCAGTCATTTGAACTGATTAAAAGCCGTCAACAGTCAAACAGTGATTATTCACCTGTATGAGAGATTAATATTCATACCATTGGTTATTAAGATTTCATTGCTTAAAGGAAATAAACTTTTTTCACGAAAAACAGCTTACGTTGCATGGGTGATTTTGTACAAAATCTTTTGCTCCTTGGTTAGTTAGATGCTTCCAGAGACCATCTGATAAACATATGACAAACTGGTCATCAGGTTGCAAATGGTGCACTGAAATTGTTTGATCTAAGCTCAATATGGGCTTGCCAAATGGTTCTTGAAGACGAAACTTTGCGTAAAATGGCTCCCTGTTGAATTCAGCTTTTTATAATTACACATCACCAATGGATCTTGAAATCTGCAAAATAAAGTATTCAGTCCATTTTAGAGTGCAGATCAAAGTTTTCTGAGTCAGGCAAGAAACAACCATACTAAACAAGCTTCCTAAAGAAAGTACTACCCCATTAATTGACATCAATAGCCTTTTATTAGCATAGCACACAGCTAATTTTGTATTGCTCCTCCCAAAAAATAGAAAAGGTAATAAAGCAAATTAGCAACACTCTGAGAAATTAATCAAGCTCTCTAAGGAGTAGTTGCAGGATCCTTCAAAGTGAGAAACTTAGTGCCATGACGGCAAGTCGGCAAGTTTAATACTAGATGTTGGTTAATCTGAGAAGAGTGGACACTAAAATCTTAAGGACTAAAGCAACACACACCTGCATAACTAGGTTTCTCAAATGAATTTGGAACATTCTTATTGTTTTAGATACTCTCTGCATGAGAAACCCGAGATGCGGAACAACAAAGCTACAGCTGCTGAGCACTGAAGGCGAAAACTGCCCGGATTAGCTTGTCAAGCCTTTTTTTATTTTATTTCCAAGAGTTTCCTTGCAACATGGTGTTGGTATCTCGGAGTATTACTCATGTTTCTAAACCTTGATTTTTGACCCTATCTTGTCTTAACAATAGGTTTGACGGCCAGATGGTAGAAATCTCTTAAGCTCTAAAATAGAGATGCTTCTCTAAAGTTCGCTGAAACATTTCTCCTTAATCTTCCCTTCTTTTAGACTCTCAAGTGGCATTCATCCATCTAAGCCTCCTCTGTAGATAATGTTCTGGGATGACGTCTATATGTATTGTTTATCAGATTTGATGTCTTAAAGAGCATAAGTTAATATTTTTCTGTTGCAAGAATCAGCAACGTCGGTTTTGAAAATATGTGGTGGATAAGATGTGAAAGCAATAAAATCCATATCTGATGTTTGCTCAATTTTCGCTTGTTCTTTTTACCAGGTCTCTCATCATCAATTATTAGAAGAGTAGCTAGCAGGGATTTGAGGGATGAAAAGCTTTACATGCATTTTTTTTCCTCTAGCTTTGTTTGAGACAACAATATCTTCTACTTATTTGCAGGTGATATCAGTCATTGAAAAAAGAGCAGACCAGTTGGACTACGTTCTCGTGGATACTCCTGGACAGATTGAGATATTCACTTGGTCTGCCTCTGGCGCAATCATAACTGAAGCTTTTGCATCTACTTTTCCCACTGTGGTGACATATGTGGTTGATACACCACGGTCTGAAAGTCCAGCTACTTTTATGAGCAATATGCTGTATGCATGTAGCATCCTGTACAAAACAAGGTTGCCATTGGTATTGGCATTCAACAAGACAGATGTGGCTAATCATCAGTTTGCTTTGGAGGTAGTAGAATAAATCCAGACATTTCTCTAATTTTTCCTTGAAAAAGTCTAGGAGTTTGGCTGTCTCCACTATTAGTCCATTTAAGTTTACTATGGAAATTATTCCATTTATGCACCTACTATAAAATGACGACGTTCAAGAAAACGTATAGGTGGATCAGAAGCTATTACCCCTTTATCTCTAATAGCTGTTATATTGAATCAACGAAACAATTATATTGACAGTTAACACTGTTTCTGTTTTGTGCTGTATCTCTTGTGACGTAGTTTAAACCAGAGAGTCATGTGTAAAGCTTTACTTATGATGGTTGTCGAGCAATTGCGTGTTTGTTTATCATAGAAGCCATGATCGATCTTTTGAGCTTGTTACATATTCTGTAATGTGGCTATCTCCTGTAAATACTTGCAGCACTTTGCTGCACATTAATATGATGTCTTTTACCAAAAAAAAAAGTGTGTTTTATTTATGTGTGTGTGGGGTTGGGGGGGGGGGGGGAGCAGGAGATGTTTGTGATTGAGTATTGAGTTAAATTCTTACTATTTGGATTCCTCTTACTTTGTGCCTTTATATTCATCAGCTGCTTTTCTGGAATTTTGATTTCTTATGATACAATTTCAATGCAGTGGATGAAAGATTTTGAGGTGTTCCATGCGGCACTAGATGCTGACAGTTCTTACACATCAACTCTGACTCGAAGCCTCTCTCTTGCACTTGAGGAGTTCTACAAGAATCTCAGATCTGTTGGAGTGTCTGCAGTTTCAGGGGCTGGGATGGAGGACTTTTTCAAGGCAATTGAAGCCAGCGCTGAGGAGTACATGGAAACTTACAAGTATTAACTGAAACTTAATTTTGTATCTCTTGAAATAACACTGATAACTTGAAATGCTTATCGGATGCTCAAAAGCTATCATGTCCCCTTTCTTATTGTTGCAAAAATTTCCTTTTAGGGCTGACTTGGACAAGAGACGGGAGGAGAAGCAACAATTAGAGGAAAGACGTAGAAGGGAGAATATGGAAAAGCTGAGAAAAGATATGGAGAAAACCGGAGGACAAACTGTAGTACTGAGCACTGGTTTGAAGGATGGAGAAGATAAGGGCAAGGCTATGATGGATGCCGAGGATGAAGAGGAAGAAGAAGATGATGACATCAAGATTTTTAGTGAGGAGGATAATGGTGACATAGACGAGGACGAAGATGAAGAAGTTGCTGGCTTTTCATTTTAAGATTGTACATGGTGTCTTTTGAGAAACACTACCCTGTATAGGACTGATCAAAGTGCTAAACTCAAAACTGAGGGACGCAAAATCGAATTCACTTCCTGCCAGTGGTTGCATTTGATGTTATCATTACATAGTTTAAGAGTTAGGTTTATCTTGATTTGTGGGTTTGCTGATGGAAATCCTTGCTTGGTAATGATTCTCAACTGAGTTACCTTTCTATTCTTTAACAATTTGCTAGTGTTCTTTATTTGGTCCATAGACAAGAGGGGTTGATCTGATGGTAAGCAACTCCCACTTCCAACCAAGAGGTTGTGAGTTCGAGTCTCCCAAGAGCAAGGTGGGAGTTCTTGGAGGGAAGGATGCCGGGGTCTATTTGGAAACAGCCTCTCTACCCCAGGGTAGGGGTAAGGTCTGCGTACACACTACCCTTCCCAGACTCCACTAAGTGGGATTATACTGGGTTGTTGTTGTTGTTGTATTAGCATCATCAGAAATAGTAAAGTATATTCCCCTAAATGTTTCTTCGTTTTACTTGTAAATGAAGGTAGAGAAAATGCAGAAGAAACCTGATGTGAATCAGATTATCTTTTATTTGCTCAACTTGGGGTGTTTTACTAGGAAATAAGATAATTTGAGTCAACCACGCAGTCATGCTTGAGGGTCAGACCATAATATTCTTGTTGTCGTAAAAAAGTCTCAGATGTCTCTCTCATATTATTTGCTTAGGTCACATCTCGTTGGCACGGAGGATGACATACATATATACATGCTATCGAATAGTTATGGAAGTTACAAAGACAAAAACTTCAGCTCTAAAGCTGAAGTTTCCCAGTTACAACACAAAAACTTCAGCTCTAGAGCTGAAGTTTCCCAGTTACAACACAAAAACTTTAGCTCTAGAGCTGAACTTCAGGCCCGACTACTAGAATGTTGAAGTTTTGTGTGATTGCCTTTGCTACTTCAGTCCCGTGTGCTGAAGTTATGCGAAAAAGTTTGTACGCTTGCAATTTTTTTTGCAAAGCGGGCACAAGTTAAAATGTGACACAAAAAGCGGGTATAGATGCAAATGCCCCGCTATTTTACCAATTTTCCTCAAAACAGCCCTTTCAACGGACCGACTGTAACAAGCAAAGAGAAAACAGAAACTCTCAAGAGCTCATATTTTCGGATTCAATAATCAGATCAAACCCTCTCGCAAAATGGGTCACGGACATGGTATTTTTGAATTCAAAGATTTTAACTCTTTTACATCATTAACGAAAACAAAAAATCCCCAAAAATTAGTAAAATTTTTTGGAAAACAATTTGATGAAATTTTGTATATTATTGAATGATTTCAGGTCGACCCAGCAAAAAGATCAAGTTTTCTTCTAAGGTTTCAGTTTCCCAGCTAGTTTCATGTCTTATTTGCTGTTTTATTAAGTAAAATTAAAGATTGTATTTTTATTACTAATTTTTATACCTTTGTGATGATGAAGGAGGATTATCGCTCTTCAGCTGCCGATGATGATCAGTACTACCCAGAAGAAGGCGATGATGATTTTCAAGATGGTATTACTCTACCTTTATTAATAGAGGCGGATCCAGAATATAAACAGACTAGAACTATACATGTGTAAAGAACATATAAAGAATCATTTAAAAAATATGAGTTTGTGTTCTATGGACTTATGGTGCCAAAAGTGTTTACATAAAGAGGTCACTTATTAGGTAATTACATATAAATCTCTTGCAAAGTATTAATTGGTAATGTGATAGAAATGGTAACTAACCTGGTATTACAGTTTAAATTCACTAATTGTGTAAAAAATCATTACATTGTAGGTGTTTATAACTTAAATCCAATAGTTTTATGTATGTTTTAAGAGCTGCACCCATTGCCTTTTAAATGCTGGAGGTGCTTTGTTACACTTGGTGATGCTTTAATAGGATAACTTTGTGTCATGTTTCAACTCAATTGATGTGGAAGTTTTGAATGACTTTTATATTTAGGCGAGAGGGAAGGGAAGAAGATGGATTTCACTAAACTGGAACTCAAACCAGATCATGCCAATCGCCCATTGTGGGCTTGTGCTGATGGAAGAATTTTCCTTGAGACCTTCTCTCCATTATATAAACAAGCCTATGATTTTCTCATTGCCATTGCTGAGCCTGTTTGCAGGTACCTTTTGTGTGGTCGATGATGTACATTCTACGTTTTTGTTTGTTTGTGGATGTTTGGAGAGGGTTAACGGAATTGCTTTTATTTTTGTAGGCCGGAGTCGATGCATGAGTACAACTTGACGCCTCACTCGTTGTATGCAGCTGTTTCAGTTGGTCTTGAGACTGAAACTATAATAGCCGTGTTGAACAAATTGTCAAAGACCAAGCTTCCCAAGGAGATGATTGATTTCATTCATGCTTCCACTGCTAATTACGGGAAAGTGAAGCTCGTACTTAAGAAGAATCGGTATTTTGTAGAATCTCCATTTCCTGAGGCAAGATAATTAGCTATAGTAACAATGATTTAACTTGAGATATCTCTTGAACTATAAGGTTCACCATGGATTGCCACTAATTAATTGATTCATTTGATGTGATTATTTCTAGGTGTTGAAAAGATTGCTCAGTGATGAAGCCATAGCAAAGGCTAGAATTTCCTCTGAGGTTTGTGTTCAATGTGATTGAGTTGCTTGTTTGCTGTTTGTAATGGTTATCAAGAATTTGGCTTTTTCTCTGGATTCGCCTTTTTGATAAAACGAACAAGAAAAAAGTGAGGAATTTTCCACTTTGATTCCTTCGAATTTCAACGCACTTTTGTTTTTGCTTGGTGCTCTTATTGGTTACTGAGACATTGTGGAATTTTCTAGGGTTTTTAAATCGGATCGCTTACTCTAAGTGATTGAGCTTAATTGCTGGGATATTTTTATCTAATTAGGGTTTTGAAGAGTTCAATAGTAGCAATTGATCCGCTGATCGCCCATTAATGCGAGCAAAATTGGCAGGGGATTTGAGCTATGGAAGAGGACTGTAGATATTACTAGAGTTATTAGCAGTTTTACCTTGACGGAGTTTTGAAATACTGTGTTTTTGACTCTTGTTTGTGAAATTTGAAGTGAAGAGCAATTTTAATTTAGTGGATTTTGCAAGTTTAAGTTAGTGGATTTTGGGTTGATTTAGTGAAGGTATTAAATGGAAGCAAACTGAAGTTTGAAAGGAATGTGGGGACATGGTGCATGGACAAAAGTATAATTTCTGGTTCGTTCCGTTACTGGAACAACACTGCTGTGAGAAATTAATTGGAGTATTATTATTATTATTATTATTTCGGAGTAGAATTTTGTGCAATGTCGCGCTGCTTTCCGTTTCCACCACGGGGATATGAAAAGAAGCTTAAACCAGAGGAGGGTGACTTATTGAAAGAGGTCTGTTCAACTTATATAATTATCACTTTTTGTGAATGTGTTCTAATAATTCAAAGTAGTGCCAAATGGCATGTTCTATTGTTCTAATAATGCGGACCAGTAACATATTATCTGGAGACTATTGGCTGTGGATTGTGATGCGTGGACTGCTCCAAAGGCGTTTTCTTTCATATGGTACTTAATGTCAATTAATTGATTGGAAATTTAAAAGTATGGATGCTTCTGAGCCAAGTAGTGTGATTCTCTTATATATTGGGAGACGACATTTCTAAAAGCAATTGTCTTAATATATCGGAATTCGGAAGAAGACATTCTAAAAGCATTGCTGAAAAGATAGTGTATATTTGTATAAAAGGAAAAATAAAGGGATCTGCTTTCTGTTTTGTTCTGATTAGTATAAGACGTGATGCATAAGTAGACTGCTTTAGACATCTTTAGTTATCTAAGGCGAAATCTCTAGAACATGATGACGGGTAACATTTTTTTTTTAATTGAATCCAATTGAATGGTATGTTAATTTTCTTCCTTTGGATGCACTATACTCCATCCTTTTGGTGGAAGTTGCTGGTTGCTTGTCATGCTTCCCATCAATACTTCAGCTGGATTACGTATATTTGTTATTAGCAAAGGCTCTCTGGCCATGGCTGTGGTTTCAGTTGAATTATCTTAAGTTACAGAATCTTAGTTTGGGGCATTTGTAAATTAATTATTATCTGGATCTATTTAGAGCTGTGTATTTGTAGGATTGTATCCTTAGAAGTTCACCTTTTGAGAAATTGCTAGATTTGTGGGAGAAGATAAATGTGGAGACATGGAAAATTTGGTTGTTTTACGATAGTAGGACTATCTTTACTAGGGAAAAGGTCCAAACTTGCCCATGTTATATCGAAAATTGCTCAATTTTGTGTTCTGTTGGACTTTTGAAACTTGTGGTCTTAAATGTGGAAATAGGCCTAATTTGGTTGTTTTAAGATAGTAGGACTATATTTACTAGGGAAAAAGGTCCAAATTTGCCCATTTACTGTCCAAAATTGCACAATTTGGCCCTCAGTTAGACGTTAAAAACTAGTGGACTTTTCCCCCTAAAGGTGGTAAGCTGCCTTATCCCGTAGGATCCATTCTGTATTTTGATGTTGGTGGGTGTTTCCTGTATATTTGGTGGAATTTATCTTCATTTTGTCTGTCTTTTAAGAGTAGAGTTACTGAAGTTTGATGTATTTTTCTTGCAAACATATTATACCCTCCACGAGTCAAGAAAAATCTGCAAGTTGTGTATATTTTTTTCGTAGGTGGTTGTGGTGGGATTGGGGGGACTATCTGCTATGATGAAATATTTTGTGGTTTGCTGATTGCCTTTTTTGGTTTGCGTTAGTGCTTTGTCTTTCAGTGTTCTTATCATTCACATTTTGTGTGACTCTATCTTGCGGATATGTTGTACCTTAGAGGCCTAATATTCACTCCCTAGTAATATTGTTTGTCTTAGGACAGTTTTATTGTACTTGCCTTTCACTTTGATAGATAGTTTCCTATTGCATAACACCTCTCTCAGCCACCATATAGTTTGATGTGCAATATTGTTATCTGTTATACCATTCTCCTGAAACATTGAGCTTATATATTTGAATTATTTGCATTTAGGCACCGCAATCCCGACTAATCTTACATTAGCTTTACTTTTCTAATGTTGGCTAAACTTGTAGTGCATATACTTAATCTTACTTGCAATTATTTTAAAACCCTTGCCTTCTAGAGTGCTTCTCCTCTGTGGTTTTGTTAATTAACATAATATCGTATGCAAATATTTTACACCATGGGACCTTATCCTCTATATTGTTACCTCATCTACTAACTAGGGTAAGCAAGTGTGCGTTTTTCGTAGTTTTGTTAATTACCACCGTCTGCAAATATCATACAGACATACACCTTTGACCCTCACTATCATAAAGAAAAATATTGTTCGTTAGCTCATAGATAACTCGGATAAACAAGTATGGTTTGAATGTTGATTCTTGGCGTAAACCCACGATTATGGGGAACTCCTTTTTATCTCATACAATTGTTCTCACACTAGTGAATACTGCATACATATATACATGGTATTTATATATGTAGTATCAATTCCTTTCCGTTCAAACACCCACCAAAAAACCTCTTCTTGGCACTCTATTACGTGTTTTTTCATGGTCAAGGAACATCATTTATAAATCATTTTTCCTCTTCCTACAATTTTTTATCAATCTTCTTAGCTACAATATAGCCTACTTTTGTAGATGTACGAGATATAAATCCAAACTGTAGGTGATTGTGTCCTCTGAAAATGTGAAGTTGACTTGTTGTGAATCAGCTGCATTATGCTATTGCATTTGGTAATGCTTGTGCCCATATTATTCTGTAATGCATGTGAACATATTTGTTTAGTTGTTGATATGTTTTCATTTATTTGTTAGCTTTGTATGCTATACCAAGATGAGGATGCCCTTTGGTCATGTTGTCCTTATGGGAATTTCCATTCATATAGGTTATTTAGTGCAGATTGGCGTAAGAAAGTGACTAATGTGAGATATGCCAACTTGTTGATGGATTGAACTGTCTTGCTTTTTGTGTTGATTGTTGAGTCATGAAATTGCTTGCTTGTCGTCCCTCCTTTGTCCAAAGTAAGGTGGTTGATTTCTTATTTTTGAGGGATCGGTTAAAAGCTGGTTTCGCATGTCACACTTTTTATCAGGTGTATGAATGGTCTGTTGTACAGCCTCCGTTTGGTGAAATCATTATGCTGGAATAAGTTCATTAGTGATTCCTGTGATCTGAAAGGGACGATGAGGGCTCTTTTTGTCATGGATATTTTCTGTTGCTGTTATAATTTTGTAGCTGAACCCATTATGGAACATCATTCATTATAAAGGCATTTCACACGGCACGAGCTGGAGACTGTAGAAGTTAATTATGGACTTCTTCTATGACGATAACTCTCCGAAAGGAGACTGATTAGGAACTGTTTGATTTTTAAATGTTTTTCCTTCATGATGCCTAAACTCATATTCAAGAAGCAAAACTTGTATATTGCTTTTGGATCCTGCTAATTAAGCTGGAGCCACGGTGAGATGTGATTGCCTTTTAATAGTGTGTTTGCTGATGTCCTGTTCTGTACTTTGTTATTGCGTAACATATTGGGGGACCAAGTTTAGTAAAAGTGATTGTTTGTATTTGTTCAATGTTTGCTTTTCTTACTAATAAACAATGTTTACCATACAAATTTAATCTATGTGACTACTCAGTGTTTGGTTTGCTATGATGATCATTTAAGTTCTTAACTGGTGGTTGATTTTTTGTTTTTTCTCTTCAACTATTGGATACTTTTGTTCTTGAGCATTCATCAGATAGATCTAGGATTTCCACCTGAACTTGAGTTTCTCATTTGGTTTCCTAATTTTGGCACTATGTAAGCTATTTATAATATTGTGCTAGATTTGACATGTTTTTTCATCCTTTTGCACAAGGATGTTTTTAACTAGTTGTACTTGACCTACTTGTCAAACAAAAAAAAAATTGTAATCGACCTGTTTGGTATAAACTAACAGTTCCTTTTCATGGGTGTAGGAGAAAAGGAAGGAGAAAAAACATAAAAAGGAAAAGAAAGACAAGGAAAAGAGAGAAGGTAAAGAAAAAAGGGATAAAGACAAAAGTGATGGGAAACACAGAGAAAAGAAAGAGAAAAAGGATAAACACAGGGACAAGAAGGAAAAGCACAAGGACAAAAAGAAGGACAAGGACAAGGATAAAGAGAAAAGCAGCATCTCTGAGGAGGCTAGAGTTGCCGCTCTACCTGAGCCTTCTACTGGAGGGAAACTTCACGAGAGAGATGAACATAAAGATAGACACATTAGCTCAGATAAAGGGAGAGATGAACATCAGCTCAGAGATAGGGATAGAAACATCAGCTCTGAGAAAAGCAAGCGCCCCGATCAGTTTCACATCCAGCTTGGCCTCTCTGCTGTTGAGACAGAGGACTCAAAATTTGTGCAGGAGTTGGAGAGGAGGATCAGAGATGCAGAAAAGGGTGCTCAAAGTCAGTTGGCGGAGAGATTTCCAGTTGAGTGCAAAAGGGATGAAGAGACAGGCAGGGTGCGATCAAGGATTCTGGAAATTTGGCTGAACACAAGGAAAAGAACAAAGAGAAAGGATTTGTTAACAATAAGATGAATGGGCAAGCATTCAGGGGTGAACTTAAAATTGGAGCTAATGCAATACCTCCCAGCCTTTCTACAATGACAAAAAGCAAATTTGATGGAGTCCCCAGACCATTTGAAGAAAATGTTGAGAAGACAAGGGAGGAAAAACAGAAACCTAAAGAAAGACGTGATGACAAACCAAGAGAGAAAAACAAGGATAAAGATAGGGAAAAGAAAAGTCATGGAAAGCAAAAAGACAAGGAAAAAGAGAAGAAAAAGGAAGAGAAGGCGAAGGACAAAAGTGAACACAAGAAAAGCCAGGAGGATAAATCAAGAGACATCAATAAGAATGACTTTGTTGGTCTTAATAACAATAAACTTCCACTTATATCCAAGGAAAACATTGCTGGTACAGTCAACGTGGGAATTGTCAGAAAGAGGAAGGATGTTGAAACTAATGGTTTCCTGCATGGTGAGTTAAAAAAAACTATTAACAGCCTGCTATTTTCTGTTGTATTGACTTTACATCCTACCCTGCGGATGCGTCAAAGCTATGAGAGTTATGTATCTGAATTAGATTGCCTTGATAGAATTCTTATGATTTTGGGTGTAGTAGTCTGTTAGGGAATTTGTAGCCAGCATATTTGATGTATTTCTAATGCAAATTGCTTGAACTTAAACAAGCGTGTTCAGCTCTATTTAACTTTTTGGTTTGGCTGATTAGTGTTGCTTTTCTGTTCTGCTGTACAGAGAGTGAACTCAGGCCTGCTAAATTGCTGCGGCCGTCATCCTCTCAGCAGCCGACACAGAATGGAAAAAAATTTGACACTCACCCAAAAGCAGACCTGTTCTCCTCCAGTAAACAGGAAGTTGCTACTGATATTAAAGTGGAAAACAAGAAGCACAAGGTGAATGGTGGTATAGAAGGCCAGCCATTATGCAGTGTTGAGGCAAAGGCTTCATCCATCATTCCTGGTGCTGATCAAATAGCTGAAGCATCTAAAAGACCTCCTCATCCCGATTCCAAATACTTAAGCCAGATACTCTCAGTTCCGAAGGTGGACGATTGGTCTGGGTTTGATGACCAGGAATGGTTGTTGGGAAGCGAAAGAACTCCGGCTAAGAAAGCTGAGACGTGTCCAGATGAAGTCAATAAGGAACATTGGGTATGGTCTGAAGCTTTGCAAATAGAGGCTGCTGATGTTTGTGCTCTGCCATATGTTATACCTTATTGAATGCTATTAACATGATCTGACATGATGAGTTTCCAAGGACGAAACTCTGTCAGCTGTGCAGGAGCAAGCATCTGGCTTCTAGAGGCCCGTACTCGGTTTTGATTGGATTCTTTCTCACCCCTCTAGCCCTGGTGGTCTTGCTGGTGGCAGTTTGTTCTGACATTGATTCAGAAATCTTGATCGCGGCTTCTTCCTATACCTATGAATTCCATCGGACCCAAAAAATGATACATTGGAAGAATGTCGGGTCTTTACAATATCAATAGGTTGATTGTTTTGCTCCTGTAACTTCCCAAAGGAAAAAAGATCTTCGAGAGCTTTCAATCACCATGGCTGAACGTTGCAGTAGCTTAGACGGAGGGGCAACTTATTGCCATATATCTGATAACCCCACAGATGGAACGGCGGGATAGTGTGTCTAGGAAGATGCATAAGCTTATGCAAGTTTATTCTATTTGCTTAAAAGCTTGGATGCTCTTTCTAATTGAGTGTAAAAGAACTAGCTTTTGTGGTCTTTACAACTCCACAATTTTGAATTGTAACATAGTATTACTATAGTTGTAAGATAGATGGGATAAAAAGCACAAACAAAAGAAAAGAGGTAGTTGCATTCATTTGATTCACTGAGATGCAAGGTCTTGTTTATAGTCGATTCTATCTAAAAAGTTAACCATTTAACAACAGATTTCTCTAGAGCTGAAGTTTTTTTATCACCTATTAATATTACATACTAGAGCTGAAGTTTTTTTACCACCTATTAATATTACATACTAGAGCTGAAGTTTCACATTAGTTCAAAATACACGATAGTATAAGTTTGTTCGCCTTGTTGCAGAACCAGGGTTGACCGTAGCATCGGCTTCCCTCACCAGGCTACAAGGTGTGCTTTCTCTAGTGCTTCTTTTAAAGGATGAAAAAAGAACAAACACACAACAACTATCAGCTACAAAAATCACTATAATCGGTGAGAGACAACATCAGATTTTGCTGGAACTATTAATATTACATACAGTTGAAAAAAAGAAAAGCTAAAAAATAAAGTAAGAACGTGAAAGGGTAGCTTTTGCACAGCTTGTGATGTTGTTTTTATGCACATTGATCTCAATCTAGATCCTTGCTTTCTTCTGGTGAGGTACTGAAGCGGAGAAGAAAGGGAGCTGAAGTTGTTTAAAAAGTGGGTACAAGTTAAAAGTTTAAAAAAAATGGGTATAGGTTAAATGGGGGCGACCAAATAGGGCGCCCCGTGCAATTTTTACATTTTTTTAATTATCAGTCCCAAAACTGTCTAGCCCGTACTATTTTCACATGGTTGTCCCATGCTAGAATAAAAAGTAAAAATAGCACGGTATAGCCAGTTTTCGGACTGGTCATTCAAAAATAGCCAGCATTTACGAAGTCAATGAAAAATAGCCACTATTTTGCTGCAACAGAGACCGGTCCAGCATAATATGCTGGAGTTCGGTGCACCTATGTATGAACTCCAGCATATTATGCTGGACCGGTATACTTTGCTGACTCCAGTATAATATATTGGAGACTGCAGCACCGGTGCTCCAAACTCCAGTATATTATACTGGACAATTATACTTGCTGGAACTCCAGTATATTATGCTGGAGTTCTAGTGTACTTATGCTGGAACTCCAGTATAATATGCTGGAGTTCAAGCATACTTATGCTAAGAACTCCAGTATAATATACTGGCGTATTTTCCGGATTTTGAACAGTGTTTTCGCTCAGATTTATCTTTACATAAAAAGTGACTAAATTTCGATTACTTTTGAAACTGGACTATTTTTGAACGACCAGTTGTAAATCTGGCTATTTTTGAATTTCTCCCGAATAAAAAGGCAAAGCTTCATTTTTTATTATGAAAGTAGAAATTGCTAACAATCACTTAATCATATGGCCCGCATCTTAACTTGAGAAGTGGACCACAATCTTGAAGTTTCTTTATTCCTTTTATGCAATTTTCAGAATAAGAAAGGTCCAAAATAGTTGGCTGAAAATTATAACAAAAATAAGTCCAAGATTTTAAAGATAATTCGCAGTCCTTAAGCTAGGCAACAAGTGTACAACTTTCCATCAATCCATATGGAAAAATATCACAGGACAAATTGCAGAAAGCAACATATTTTGGTTCTTTTTAAGGAACAAACCAATAACTCAAAAGCCAATTGTGGGTGTCTCTTTCTTTAGTAATTAAATAGGAAGATATGAGAAACCAAAATAGACCAAGCGCCACATTTTGTGATGTGGTCTTTATTTACTGAAATAATATGCCTTACAACTAAACACTAGACTGAGTCATACAAGATGATAATGAAAATGACCGAGAATTGACTTCATGAATTGACATCTTCCTTACTCCTAATTCATCAGCACCAACAACCTAATAAAATCGCACAAGTGGGGTCAATGAAAGGTAGAGTGTACACATACCTTACCTTACGCGAGGGAGTTGAGAGGTTGTTTCCGATAGACCTTAGGCTCAAAGCTTACTCCCAATTCATCATCTCCAAGAAATGCTATCAGAGGCGAAACCAGAATTTTGAGTTTATAAGATCTAAATTCAAGAAAAGACGGTTTATTGCGTTCTTGATAGTTTTATTTTATATATTTTAATAAATTTTTAGACATAAATACAAAATTTGAACCAAAGCTGCTCCAATTCCGCTGAACCCGTAAGTAAAACTATAGCTCCGCCCTAGGAGCTTTCACACCATCATGTGATTTCACCCAACTCTGAGAGAATTGGTAGACAGTTTCTCTTTCTGGCAAATGAAACACACACACACACCTCTTTCTCGCAAATGAAAGTATGAAACACACACACACACACACACACATATATATATATATATATATATATATATATATATATATATATATATATATATATATATATAGCCAACAAGAAGGAAAGCTTGCCAAACTTGCTTAACATAAATAAAATACTGCCTTTGCTGTAGCAGGAGTATATTACTGGAGATGAAATTCTTGATCCACATTAGTATGTACAAAATGCACTGCCTATTTAGGTGCATTTTCATATATGGTTAGCACTAAGACGAGAAGAAAAAGGAGAAAAAAAATTCCATATATACAAAATAATAGGAAAACGCATTAATTATTATCGATTAAGATGAAGCTTCGTTCCTTTGCTTGCGCATTCGTGCTCCCCATGACATACTATTACCAGAGTCCTTGTGCATGCTTCTTCTCTTGAGCTCTGATAGCTGAGACTGCCAACGATTTTTCCACTCGCCTTTCTCCCCCATTGACTATATGCATAAGAAAAGAATCAAATTAGTAACAAGAATTCAAGAACAAACATGTCATTAGATCATACTAGCAAACAGACGTCAATTACAAGAATGTGAAAGAAAACAGAGTGATGCTAAGGAAAAGATAAGCCCGCTACATCCAGCAGTAGTTAATTTAATGTTTTTCGAGATGCACATGGGAAGGACAAAGTTTCAACGAGATAGATAAGGATTAAAAGTAGTTTAGAGATAATGGCACAAGTAGGAAAAAGGGTCAAACAACTCGATCATCAAACCAATGGAATCTGAGCAAAGAGCATTGCGTTTTAAAGTTTCTTGATGCCAACCAAGTTTACAATGGAAGTCGTTTCGAGTTTGAGGGTAGACAAGAACACAAGAAAGGAGCAAGAAGATGACAGATGGGAAAGCCTTGTTTGGTATTTTATGAGAAACTAGTTTCAGTCATTCTTCTTGCCTCGGGAATTAGAGAAATGAGTACATTCAAGGAACTTCATACATGACACTTATGAAATAATTTAAAAGGTTGAATGTGAAAATAAGAGAACAAAGGTTGATTATGATAGCATAGCACCTTGAAAAAAAATAGCTTAGCTTAGGAATGGATATGAACAGAACTTTTAGACGAAAACAGTTGTCTTTAAGATTCCACTAATTGAGGTATAATCTATGAAACATCAGGCTATCTCATACTCAGTCAATGACATATATTATGACAACATTCATGTAGTCCAAATACAGGAAGGCAGTAGGAACGCCAACAATTACAGATACAGTGACAAAAAATACCAGCATCTAAAACCAAAGAATATTATGAGAAAGGACCAATAACTAAATTCTTTGGATCGGTCAAAACCATTTCTTTTCTGTTGTATTGTTCACTCATCTGAGTAGACGAGGCAGACCAATAACTTGATCCCAACAATGATCATGCTAAGAGCATCAAGCATCTAGATATGACGGTTAGACAGTAAGTATTTTCAATATTCCACACTTATCCTTACACCTTTTTTTCGAAAAGATCTCAGGACTTAGCCGTATATACTAAGATTCTATTCAAACCATTCTTATCTTTAGCATGTCAGCCTTTAAGATGCGAATAACTATGTTTTTATGGATTTAATTTGCATAAATCAGTAGCTTAAAGAATTTTTACACTTTCAATATCGTTTAACAGACTATAACATGTAAGGGCTTACCTTTAAATGCATTTTTATCTTTTAAGTGCCATGATTGTGAAGAAAAATATAACAGTATATGTGGATAAAAATTAAACTCATGTAAGCAAGCCATCCCAGATAGATCTTCATATTTGCCTAGGGATGGCAAATGGGGTCGGACAGATGGTAAAATTCACAAATAGCCACTTTTCAGTCCCTATAACTGAAAAATATTCAATGTCCTGAAATTTCAAATTCTACAAGTGAAATTCCAAGACAGTGGCTAATTTTTTAAAGACAGGCCAAAAAATGGCCACCGAGCGTCTTTTTATCATAGGCAGATCCAATATTTAAATTTTAAGAACCCATTTGGACATAAGAATTTTATCACTTTTATCGAAAAAAATTCACTTTTTTTTTCGAAATTAGTGTTTGGCCATCAAATTTTCAATTCTTCGCTTGAAGATGAATTTTATAATTTTTCGAAAATTTGAAAAACTCCAAAAGAAGTTATTTTTCAAAATTTTTACTATGACCGCTCCCAAAAATTCAAAAACAACCCAAAATTATATTCATGTCCAAACACAACTGTAATTTTTAAATACCATTTTGACTTGAATTTTTTTTTTTATTTTTTTGGAATTTTACAATTCTTATGTCCAAACGCCCACTAAGTGTTCTTACCGCGATCTCAAACTAACTAATGTATAATAATAACCAAACCAGATTCCGAGCTAAATATTCTTACACAAAATACAGAGTCCGAACAAAAGTTATTGGATTCAGTGAACTAACCTCATCGCTTTGGTAACGCCTACGAGCAGAGAACGCAAAGTGAAGACCTTTAGCCATATCTTTATCATACATATCTCTCATTCTAGGATCCGATAAAGTCTCATACGCCTCCTGTACCCGAATAAATCTCTGCGTATACTCCTCGACCCGATCCGGAGGCGAAACATCCGGGTGGTACTTTCGTGCTAATTGCTTGTACGCTTGTTTAATTTCCAATAAAGTCCCCGTTTCCGATATAACAAGCAGATCGTAAAAGCTCTTATTATCAATCTCAGCATACGAAACAACGTCGTTAAGCTTCGATTTTGCTTTCAAGGAACCAAATTTGGTTCCCAAAACTTGGGAATTTGAGGGGTAGTTTGGGAAATATATACGGGGGTGTAGGG